GCTAAAATATACTAGAGCAATGCCTCCAAGATGCTGAGGGAAAATTCTCTCCAACCAATCAAGTATGAGGGTTAAAAATGAAGATATTTTCAGACGTGCAGTGTCTTGAAAACTTTAATGCCTTCATGCTTTTTATTAGGACACTGTTGGAAAAGGTATTCCACCAAAGCCAAAACTGAGGAAGACATGGCATCAAGGAAAAAACTGTATCCAACTCAAGAGAAGGGGGAAGGGAATTTCCAGAATGATGGTGAAAGGAGATCAGTGGAGTCAATCTGAAGGCTCCAGAAGGGATGTCTCCATGGAGATGAAATTGTCTTAGAATATATTAGGAGAGAATTTTCTGTTGTTATGGCACTTCTCTGTATGCTTTATTTCCATAAATTAGAGTAATTATCAGTACTGAACTTCTTTTCCTGCACATATGTTAACTCTGTACCCTCTTCCACACAGTTGGTATTCAATTTTTATTTTAATAAATGGAGGAATAGAATATCTGCATTTGTACACTGTAGTACAGCACTCTGAAAAGGGCTTAGTGGAGGATATGGAGTATTCCAACTTAGGAAGCTTCTATATCCTGATTCTACCACTCATCTGTCAGTTTGTCAACTAAGATGCACTTAACCCAAGCCATGGTCAGTCACCTCATATGCTTGTGAAAGATAGTGAATAAAGAAGACCAAAGAGGAGTTGATGCTTTTGAGTTGTGGTGTTGGCAAAGAATACTGAAAATACCATGGACTGCCAGAAGAACAAACAAATCTGTCCTGGAAGAAATGCAGCCGGGATGCTCCTTGGTAGCGAGGATAGCCAGACTTTGTCTCACCTACTTTGGTCATGTTGTCAGAAGGGACCATTCCCTGGAGAAGGATATCATGCTTGGTAAAGTGGAGGGTCAGCAAAAAAGGGTAAGACTATCAATGAGATGGTTTGTCACAGTGGCTACAACAATGGGTTCAAGTATAGCAAGGATTGTGAGGATGGCACACAACCAGGCAGTGTTTTGCTCTGTTGTACAAATCTGTTGTCACTGTGAGTCGTAGCTGACTAGACCAGCACCTAACAACAACATATCTTGACTACCCATTCATTCATCTATTTGAAGACCAAAGGCAGAACCATATTATAATTTCAGGGGGGAAGTGTGAGTCATGATTATGCAAGTAGACTATGGAGTTAGACTGGATGAATGCAGACTCTATTTCATTGGTTAATAGTTTCATAATTTGGCCAAATTACTTAATCTTTCTAAATTTTATTTCCTCACTTGAAAATGGGGTTATTCATAGAGGTAGTGTGAGGATTGAGCTAATGCACATAGTTTCATATTATAGTTTCCTAGAGCTTTGCAATTCTGATCATAAGTTCTTAAGCTTGAGATTATAGGAAAAGCAGGTATGAGAAAGAATCTTTTTGCTTGCTAGTGCAAAAAGCACTAAGTAGGAGACCCAATGAGGGACATTAGGATGTATCCCAGTAAGGATTTGCTACCAACTAGCTGTGTAGCACTTGGCAATCACTTAACTTCTGTTAAGCTTCACTTTCCTCATTTGTACAGCTTTCATATATGTTTTGCCCTGCTGTCCAGAGGGCGTAGCCATTTTTAATGTTTACAAGTGGTGGCCATTTTGGATATTTAAAGTGACCAAGGGTGTAGCCATTTTGAATCTTTACAAGTGGCAACCATTTTGGATTTAAGGTGATAGCATTCTCATTCAGATTCCAGGGACCTAAGAATAGACTCTGTTTGCCAAGATCGGCAGGGGTACAAGAGGCTGGCAACAGGAAAGGAGACAGGTGGTATGTGTATAAGTGCTGTCAACTAGTGCATAGAGGAGCACAGAACACCTGCTTGCATAAATAACGTACAAACAAACCAAAGAAAATGAAAATCATGGGCAAGTCACTCCAACATGCAATCATCAATTAAATATAAACACAAAAATGTCACAATGCCTGAGAGACAAAAGAGCATCACAGTCCACACAAAGAAGCAAGATAAAGCAGGAGAAACAAGGGACCAGGATATAGACCCACAACACGTCCCTGAGGAAGAGGCAGCATTGGAACTCCCTAACAAGGAATTCAAAAGAATTATATTTAGGTATCTTCAAAGGATTGAGAGACAGATCAAGGAAAACACAGACAAAACCCTAAAACAATTTTGAAAGACAATACAAGAACAAAATGACAAAATAAATGAAAAATTAGAAATGATACAAAATGTACAGATAGAAACCCAGAAGATTAATGCTAAATTGTCAGAAATAGATAACACAGTGAAAGAGCAAAGGACTAGAATTGATGCAATGGAAGACAAAATTAATGACATTGAAGACAAACACCTGAATACTTCTTCAGAAAGGGATCAATCAGAAAAAAGATCAAGACAAAATGAAGAAAGCCTAAGGTTCATGTGGGATACCATCAAAAGGAATAACCTATGTGTAATCAGAATTCCAGAACAGGAAGAGAAAAATGAAACCACTGAGAAAATGGTCCAAGATTTGTTGAAAGAAAACTTCCCTGATATGATGAAAGATGACAATATATCCATCCATTCAGGACGTCCAATGAACCCCAAACAGGATAGACCCCAAAAGAAAATCACCAAGACATATCAGCATCAAACTCACCAAAACCAAAGATAAAGAAAGAATCCTAAAAGCAGCATGGGAAAAATGAAGAGTTACATACAAGGGGCAACCAATAAGACTAAGCTCGGATTTCTCAACAGAAACCATGCAGGCGAGAAGACAATGGGATGGTATATATAAAACCCTGAAAGAGAAAAATATCCAACCAAGAATTATGCACCCAGCCAAATTGTCCCTCAAAAATGATGATGAAACTAGGACATTTCCAGATAAGCAGAAATTAAGGGAATTTGTTAAAACCAGACCAACCTTACAAGAGATGCTAAAGGGAGCCCTTTGGACAAAGAAGCAACAGCCAACAACAACTGACCATTAACACGCATGATGATAAAACCCATAAACCAATCCAGCTATGGAAGTATCCAAAGTAAGTAAGCCTACAAGACTGTAAACAGGGAACCAGAGACATCAATTGGCAAATGAGGACAACAACAAACCAAAAAGAGGGAAAAAACTGGGTCGTTAAAAAACTTCTAGATGGTAGGGAAGTCAAGACAGCTACAAGATAGAATGGACTGTTCTAAACTTGGAAAGAAAACTATAAATCACAGGGTAACCTCAAAGAAAAATTATAAACCTTCACATCAAAAAGAGGACCAGCACAAATATTTAGCAAATACTAAAACAATAGCAACAAAGGAAGTGATAACGATTCATAAACAAAACAAGCTCAGCATACATTATATGGAACAAAGAAACTGACAACACGAAAAAGCACATAACAAAAATGACAGCAAGATTCATATTTGCCAATAATTACGTATCTGGCAAGGGACTTATCTCTAAGATTTATAGAAAACTCCAATGCTTCAACACCAAAGGAATTAACAATCCAATTGAAAAATGAGCAGAAGACATGAATAGACACTTCACCAAGGAGGATATTCAGGTGGCCAGCTAATACATGAAGTGATGCTCAGAATCACTGGCCATCAGGGAGATGCAAACCAAAACAACAATGAGATACCGTCTGACCTCAGCACTGATGGCAAGGTTCAACAGAACAGAAAACAACCAATGCTGGCAGGGATGTGGAGAGATGGGGACTCTCATACACTGCTGGTGGGACTGTGAAGTGATACAACCACTGTGGAAAGGAATATGGTGATTCCTTAGAAAGCTGGAATTGTAGATACCATTTGACCCAGCAATCCCATTGTTGTTGTTGTTATGTGCCATCGAGTGGGACCCCTCCTTGGCTTTCCGAGGCCGTATCACTACAGAAGTAGATTGCCCAACCTTTCTTCCAAGGAATGGCTGGTTGATTTGAACTGCCAGCCTTCTGGTTAGCAGTCAAGTGCCTTAGGCACTACGCTACCAGAGCTCCTAATTACTAGGTAATTACTAGGTAGAGCAATCCCATTACTAGGGATATATCCTAGAGAGGTGAGAGCCAGGACAGGAACAGATACATGCGCACTCATGTTCATCGCAGCACTATTTACAATAGTAAAAAGATGGAAACAATCTACATGCCCATCAGCAGAAGAGTGGATGACCAAACTATGGTATGTATGTACGTACACATAATGGAATGCTATGCAGCACTAAAGAATAATGTAGTCTGTGAAACACCACATAATATGGATGAACTTGGAGGACATTATGCTGAGTGAAATAAGTCAATTACAGAAGGACAAATATAGTATTAGTTTCTTGTTGTGGAGGGTCAAGAAAAGGTTTATATATGGAGGGAAACTTTGTTGGTTGCCAGAGGGGCGAGGGGAGGGAAGGGAACACTGCAAATAAATAAATAAATAAATAAGTGTTGACTCATGCCACTTTAGTTTTGTGTATTTCACTGCACACAAATTGTATTTCAATAAAATGCATTAAAAATAAATAATAAATTACAAAAAAAAAAAAAACACTGCCTTCCAGTCTAATCCGACTTGGGTTCCTGAGACCCTATCTCTACAGGAGTAGATTGCTTCAGAGAAGTGGCTGGTGAATATGAACCGCCAGCCTTCTGGTTAGCAAATACCTTAGTCACTACACCACCAGAGCTCCCTGAATTAATTCCCTGACAATGGGTTTGGATTTTTGGTCGTTATTAGCCTTGGGAATCTGGGGAGAATTAAATGGGCTGAGAAAGCAGAATCCCGCCTAAAGCGAGTTCGTTTTTTTTTTCCCCCCACGAGATGGCAGCATTCGCGGAAACAACCATACACGTACTCCTTGCAACTGTAAAACCAGTAATAGAAGAAAACACCAGAATCCTATGTTTGCCTTTCATTTGCTTTTGTTTCGACCTTGCTCGGTTTCAATAAAGCAGCAGTTTATCAAAGCTCGTGAGACAGCGACAGCTAAACGCGTGAGTTCTCGTGAGATCGCCGCCGGAAGTGGGTGGCAGCGGGGAGGTAGCGACCCACCTCTCCGGAAGGCGAGGGTTTTCTCTCCAGCCGGTGCAGTCTTCGGTTCCAGGTAGTTGGGCTCCGAGAAAGCGCCAACCCCGCCGAGGTCTTCTGCACCCGCACGTGCTTTCGGCTTCCCTGGACTGCACCACCCCGCATCGGTGCGGACCTAGGCTCAGCCTGCGGAACCTCGCCATTCTCGGCCCCTCTCTCTGCGGTGCAGTTAGGCCGCGCCCTGAGGCCCAGTCCCTAGCGGCCCCGGCGGGTGATGCCAAATACAGCCATGAAGAAGAAGGTACTGCTGATGGGGAAGAGCGGGTCGGGCAAGACCAGCATGAGGTCGATCATCTTTGCCAATTATATTGCTCGCGACACCCGGCGCTTGGGTGCCACCATTGATGTGGAGCACTCCCACGTCCGATTTCTGGGGAACCTGGTGCTGAACCTGTGGGACTGTGGTGGTCAGGACACCTTCATGGAAAACTACTTCACTAGCCAGCGAGACAACATCTTCCGTAATGTCGAGGTTTTGATTTATGTATTCGACGTGGAGAGCCGTGAATTGGAAAAGGACATGCATTATTATCAGTCATGTCTGGAGGCCATCCTCCAGAACTCTCCTGACGCCAAAATCTTCTGCCTAGTGCACAAAATGGATCTGGTTCAGGAGGATCAGCGTGACCTGATTTTTAAGGAGAGAGAGGAAGACCTGAGGCGTTTGTCTCGCCCTCTGGAGTGCGCTTGTTTTCGAACATCCATCTGGGATGAGACGCTGTACAAAGCCTGGTCCAGTATTGTCTATCAGCTGATTCCCAACGTTCAGCAGCTGGAGATGAACTTAAGGAATTTTGCGCAAATTATTGAGGCCGATGAAGTTCTGCTGTTCGAGAGAGCTACGTTCTTGGTTATTTCCCATTACCAGTGCAAAGAGCAGCGTGACGTCCACCGCTTTGAGAAGATCAGCAACATCATTAAGCAGTTCAAGCTGAGCTGCAGTAAATTGGCCGCCTCTTTCCAGAGCATGGAGGTCAGGAATTCTAACTTCGCTGCATTCATCGACATCTTCACATCAAACACGTATGTGATGGTTGTTATGTCTGATCCATCGATCCCTTCTGCAGCCACTCTAATCAACATTCGCAATGCCAGGAAACACTTTGAGAAGCTGGAGAGAGTGGATGGTCCCAAGCACAGTCTCCTTATGCGTTAAATATTGTTAAATGCTGTTGCTGAAGATGCTAAATTGCTTTTTTTTTGTTTTGTTCTTGGCACCCTCTCTTTTTAATACTCATAATGTTGTGTGCTTAAAAGTGGGCTTTGAAATGTGTGCTGCTTACTAGTTCCGTCTCTTTCTTCCCCACTCCCATTCTTTAAACATTGGACACTAGTTACTCAGCTGTCCAGTAGAGCTTCAAGATGACCTTTCTGAAAAGTTGGTATGGTGTAACACTAAAGTAGGTGGTTTGTGGGTGTGTTCTGATTACCTGGTCCTAATAGATAAGCACATCAAAGCCTTTACCAATATCTGTATTCCTTATTAGTTTGCAAAGATGGAATGTTACTATTTTATCAGCAAGGAATTAAAATGCATTTATAAATTCTTCTTGGCTTCAATCATGAATAAACATTTGCTGTTAGCAATTTAAAATATGGTGTTAATTGAAGTAATTTGAAGGTGGTTAAGTAAATAGATTCTTTTCACTGCCTACAACAGTTGCTTTACTTTGTAATCTAGTCCCATCTCCTTAGTTAAGTTTCATGGCAGCTGCCACAGTGGTTCAAAGTGTGAACTCTCAAGCCTGACCACCTGAGTTGATATTCAGGTCCTTTCACTTACGAGTTCTGTGAACTTGAGTAAGATAATTTATTTCGCTGTGCTTGCTTCCTCATTTGTAAAATGTGGGTAAGACTAGCACTCTTTCATAGCATTGTTAGGATTTAAAAAAATCAAAACATGGAAAGCATTTAGAATAGTGCCTGGTATATAAGTACTCTATATAAACGTTAGCTATCATTGCCACCGACTCAGCCATTTCTCCCTCAAATTACTAAATAGTTATTGTTATGTACCATCGAGTTGGACTCGACTCATAGTGACCCCTTCCTTAGGTTTCCGAGGCGGTATCACTATGGAAGTAGATCACCCAACCTTCCTCCCAAGGGGTGGCTGCTGGGTTTGAACTGCCAGCCTTCTGGTTAGCAATCAAATGCCTTAGGCACTATGCTACCAGGGCTCCCCCTAAATGAGAACCCTTGCTAAAAATGTAAACGCTTACTAAATCCCAGGTGTTTCTACATATTTAATGTGCATTTATCTAATTTAATCCTCACAACCCGTAAGGTAGGTTACTTTATAGGTGAGAAAACTGGGAGATTTAAACTTTATTTACAAAGGTCATATAGCTGAACCCAGGCAGTCTAAAGTTCCTTCCTCTCCCCCAACCTTGACACCCCACATTGGACAAAACGTTAATCGTAAAAATCCTACCTTTTTAGATGTAGATTATTCCTTCTTATAATTCTTTTAATTTTACAGAGAGGAAACAAGTCCAGGGAAGTTAAGTGAATCACTCACTTTGGGCTGTATCATGCCCCCATCTGCATTTATCTGGAAATGTGGATCACATTGAAGAGATTCTTAATGCCTCCTTTTTGGGGAGGATTCTAAGATTCCTATTTGAATTGGTATTATGGTAAAGTCAGAAAACACTTAAAGACGCCCTGGTGTAGTTCTATAATAGGTGCCTTATATTGTTGGGTGCCATTGGGTCGGGCCCGACTCATAGCAACCCCTCCTTGGGCTGCCGAGGCAGTATCACTACGGAAATAGATTGCCCAACCTTCCTTCCGAGGAGTGGCTGGTGGGTTTCAACCACCAGCCTTCTGGTTAGCAGTCAACTGCCTTGGGCACTATGCTACCAGAGCTCCCAGGTGCCTTATAGTTTTAAATGAAACCTAAATTTCATTTGGGAAGAGCCCGGTGCACAGTGGTTAAGTGCTCAGCTGCAAATTGGGAGGTCTGGTTGAAACCCACCAACTCCTCTGCAAGAAAAAGATGTGGCAGTCTGCTTCCATAAAGATTTACAGCCTTAGAAGCCCTGTGAGGCAGTACTAACGAGTCACTATGAGTCAGAATCAACTCAATGGGAACTTTTTTTTTTTTAGATAAAATTGTATTTAAAAGAAACTTCTGATCATTGACTCCTGACCTCTCATTTTCCAGATGATGCAATATAAACCAACAAAAAAAAAGCCAAACTCAACTGCCATTGAGTTGGATCCGATTCAGCTACCCCTCCTTGGGTTTCCGAGGTGCTATCACTAGGGAAGTAGATTGCCCAATCTTCCTTCTGAGGTGTGGATGAGGCAATATACAGCCAGTAAATGTAAGTGATAGGCCTTTAGAATGTCCAAGCTTTAAAAAGTTATTTAACATTCATTAAAACCTTTCTAACTATAGATGATAGATTCCCCTATCCATTAAAAGCAACAGCCTATTCAGATATAAATTATGAAACATATTTAATTAGTGCATTAGCAATAAATTAGTGTTAATCTGAGTCACTGAAACTCACTTTAATAAAGTTATTATATATCTTTATATGTGATCATTTTATGCATTCCAGGACAGAGTTCTTTTTATTGATATTAATAGAAAATTCCAAAGCCAGATGGTATAATATTGAACATTTATTCAAGACAACAGTACAGGATATGGAACATTATTAACATAATAGTCCCATATAGAATGCACAAATATTTCATACTTAAGATATGGACTTGGCTTTCACAGTGCTTAAAAAGAAAGGTGAGCAAGCTTGTATCTGCAGCTTAATGAAACAATTATAGCAAATACTTTCTTTACATTGAGGGAAATGTCCTTAAACATTTTAATTTTTTAAATATACTCAGAATAGAAAAAATTATAGGGTTTGCTTTTATATTATAGGTCTCAAGAATTCCTGTTTTGACCTTAAGATAAAGTTGACTTTATAGATAGATCATGGTGAAGAAACACATGATTAAGAAAAATTTTTTAAATAAGTATTTTTGTTTTCAGTTAAATACCTCCAAATGTTTTCCTTTAACTTCCAATATTCCTGATTCCACTTGATAGCATTTTTCATGTTAAGCAACATTTTATTCTTGTCCTCTTTAAATATTTAAAATAATTAGGACACTTTGGCATTACTTAAGGTTTCAAGTTGAGGATTTAAAAGTCAGTTTACACACCTATGTATCTTAAAAAATAGTGACTAAAACAAGGTATATATCCTGTGTGATTTGTCAGACGTGGATGTAATGAGAAAGTACATATAATAGCAATAAATTCACCCTTTTTACCATTCAATTCCATGAAGTAGGTGGCTAACAATGCCAAAAAAAAAAAAAAAAAGCCACACTCAAGTGCCGTCTAGTCGGATCCAACTCAGCAACCCTTCCTTGAGTTTCCAAGGTGCTATCACTAGGGAAGTAGATTGCCCAATCTAGTTTGGCCATGGGCCAAAGGTGGCCCATGGCCCTTGGGTTATGTATGCATATGTGACACGGAATTGTTTATAGAGATCATACAACCATAAAAGATAAATATAATGAAACCAGTAAGTGAAATGCTAAGTGAATAACATAAATCATAACAGATTTCAGAAAAGGGATAGGCACAGAAAAGGACAGATTAAGACTTAAGCACAGAAGTAAGATTTTTTCTGAGCCCTAAAGCTATAATTGCAATAAACTGGGAGGGGAAACTAAGGTATCCCAATTTCAGAATTGTGAATTAAGACTTCTAAAGGCCCATGCTCCCAGAACATTTCAGTGATAATTAGACAATGGTGGAAGGGAGAACACAGGAAACCTATTTAGGGGACTACATATGCTCTGGTGGCCCTGTGGTTAAAACACTGGCCTGCTAACCAAAACGGTCAGTGGTTCAAACCCACCAGCCACTCCACATGAGAAAGATGAGGCAGTCTGCTTCCGTAAAGATTACAGCCTTGGAAACCTTATGGGGCAGTTCTGTGTTCTAAAAGGGTCACTGTGAGTCAACTGACTCAATGGCAGTGGGTTTGTTGCTTTTTGTATAAGCCTTTTGAGGTCTAACCTAGAATTTACAATGAACCATTACTAGTATTTAAGTGAGTGACAAGCAGTCCCCATAGTGCCTAATCAGAAAGCTGGCGGTTCAAATCCACCAGCCACTCCTTGGAAGGAAGATTAGGCAATCTACTTCCATAGTGATACTGCCTTGGAAACCCCAGGAGGGTTCGCTATGAGTCAGATCTGACTCGATGGCAGTGAGTCTGGCTTTTTTGGTTTTGGTATGGCCAAAAGGGAGCCATGCAGGAGGTATTAGATGGAGAGAGGCTAAAGGCAGTAAGCTGTAATCAGTGTTTTGGGCAAAGAACGAGATTTGAGACATGTTTGTTTATAGTACAGGTATGCCTACTTAGTCTGTTAAATAGGACTTTATGGGATTTGGACAGTGTGCGAACACCATACATACAGACAGACCCTGTACAATCTGTACTTAAATGCTTGTTCTTAGATTAAAACCTATGGGAGTCTGTAGGACAAACCCTGAAAGCTTTATCCACTTGATACAGGCTAGCCTTGCAGGTGTGTGGCTGGGCCAGTTGGCTGCATTGGCAGCCAGATGGGAACTATGCACACAGAAGGGAGAAGGGGAGACAGAGACGCAGGGAGGAAGGGTGGAGGAGGAGAGATGACTGCAGGGGACAGATCAGGTTGTGGATGCTGGGAATGCAGCTGGCAGTGGCAGCCTGGATGCTGCTGCCCTGTTGGTGTGGCCACTTCCTAATCACGTGCAGTCACCATTACTACCACCAAGAGCTGGGAGCCCAACAGCACTCTGGATCCAACGCTGTCAACACCTGCAGCAGGGATGGAGCCCCAGCAGGCACTCCATTGCCCCAAGAAAGGCAAGCTGCTCTGCTGCTGGGCAGGTGAATGAAGCCAAGGAGGAGCGCAAGGAGGCAGAGAGGGCATTGTGGGGATTGGGATTCACCCTGGAGCCCTGCTGCTCACTCTGAGGGTTTGGGATTTTTAAAACCATTAGAGGAAAATAATAAAAAGAGAGCACTGCTTTTTCTTTAAAAAAAAAAAAAAAAAATGTATGGGGCTAGATGTTGCCCAACCTGACATTAAGCAAAGCATACCTTGTACTAGTATATAAAGAACAAAGGAAGTCTTATCAAAAACTCTCAGCCAATGAGGTATAGCTTACTCAACAAAGTGGTTTTTTGTACATCAAATAATGTCCAAAGACAATTTGATGTTCTGTTTCTGATTCTCAGTAAAGGGCCTCTTATATTTTATTGAACGTGAACTTTCCCATCGGTTAATGATCTAAATATACATTAGGGTAGCTGCTTCTAAAAGGTACCCCAGGGCTGAATGTGAATCTATAACCTTGGCAGTGGTTCTCAAGCTTTTTATTGAGCATAAAAATCATCAGGGAATCCTTTTTGAAATGCAAGTTCCTAATCCCCATTTTAAACCTATAGACTACATTTTTAAAATACATCCCAGATTATTCTAATTCAGGTGATCCTTGAATTCATCTTGTTTTTGTTGCTGTTATGTGCTGTCTAGTCGGACCCGACTCACAGCGACCCCTCGTTGGGTTGCCGAGGCAGTATCACTACGGAAGTAGATTGCCCAACCTTCCTCCCAATTATAGTTGTTTTACATGTAAGGAAACTGAAGCTCAGGAAGCTTAAATGACTTGTCTAAGATGAATCCGTGCCATTCTAAGATGAATCCATCTTAGACAAGTCATTTAAGCTTCCTGAGCTTCAGTTTCCTTATCTGTAAAACAACTATAATTGGGGGTTTGGGTTTTTTTTTTTTTTTTTTTTAAGAGTTCTAAGGATTTAATGAAATATGTGCCTAACAATAGCCCTGATACTTTATAAATGGTAATACGATAGCCCTACCTCCTTCCTAGCATACTGCCTGGACTTTCAGATAGAGTTTTCTTAAAGCAGACTACAGAATGTTTTCCCAGCAGACCTAATTTGTTGCATTCCTTGTCTTTTCTCACAAAAGACTGGCCTTCAAACTGAAATAGGCAGAACTAACAGAGAAAGGTAGCCCAAGATGGGTCAAAAGAGATGAACTATTAACCCATCTATTTTCTAAACATTTCTCCTTTCTTTGCCAACTTCTTAGGGGTTACTGGACAAGGTTTTATGGGTCGGAGATCTACAGAGGGTACTGTAGGTGACATCACCCTTCCAATACTCTTCCAATCCTCCTGTTTCACAGAGGTCAATGTCATGTGTTCATCTGGGTACTAGAGACAAGCCCTTCCCTAGGCCAGCAAGTCTAAAGAAGTAAGGCAGGAGACTGAATAAGAGCCTCACCTCTGAGTCCCACTCAGAATCCAGAGGCCAATAGAAGGCCCTATTCCTGGAGCCTTAGTAATCCTGTGTCCTGGCCTTTTAGTGGCGCATTATCAAAAAAAAAAAAAAAACCTGCCCACTGCCACTGAGTTGGTCCTAGCTTCATAACTTAGCTATATGACACTGAACAAGTTATTTAATGACATCTGAGTTAAGTTTTCTAAAGTTATATTGAGGACTATTCTGTAAGCACAGGGGACAATTTGATAGTTTTTGAGCAGGAAAGTAACATCATCAAATCTAGTTCCTTTCCCAAAGACAGTACCTTTCTCCCACACACACCCCAAAAAATAAACAAAAACACGAACTAATTTTTTAATTTATTTTTTGTTAAAATATAAAACTAGGATTAAATTAAATTCTCAAAGTCTAAATTAGACCAAATATAAATCTATTGTATAACCCACTAAATGGAATTACACTTTGACAATGTTCCTTAAAAAGTGTCATCATCTTTCATCTTTATCCTTTTTCTAAATTTATTTGGCACCAGTCTTCACTTATCATCACATGCACTTTATTCCATCCAACATCACTTCTCAGGAACAATCTACTTTAATAATAACTAAGCATATTTACACTTTTCCCAATCTTAAGCTTTGTCGTCTTGACTATACACACAAGGCAATACTTTTCTGACATTTTTTTTGTTAATAGCAGAATGTTCCATAAAGAAACAAAAGTTACATATTTCTCTAAAGGAAAGATCAGTATATCCAATGGCTATTACCTTAACCAGTTAATGAAAGAACATCAAAAACTGCTCATCCTTATATTAATGAACTGAGATTGTAACATAATAAATTATACTACAACTTTTTCAACTGACTTAATGCTTAGATTATTCAAGAAATCAAAATGTGTTTGTATAATTCTCCATTTTGCTTTCCCAGTACTTCATATTGCAACCTCATGTTCCTACTACAAATAGAGAAAATCCAAACATACTTACTTTACCTAAAAATATTATAGGAGGCTAAAAGGCATTTAAGAACTTTTAGACTTTGAAAAGGGGAATATTACATTTCCAATGCACATTTAAATTACAATTTAGTTTTTATTCTATGACATAACTTCAATTTAAGTGCATCACAGTTAAATTAAAATTAACTGTCCTCCTGCTTTAGCTTTTCAAGTCAGACGGAGATTTTTCTGCATCAAGACTCTTATTCTGGATTTCTTCTTCTGTAAAATTGATTTAAAAAAACACACATAAGCAGACATTACAAAGTAAAATAATTATGAGAGATTCTAAGTAGTCACAAATTTGTTTTCTTAGGAAAAAAGTTCACACTTATAAAATAAAATACTTAACTATTACAACTTACCATTAGTCTCCCTAAAGTACCTTTTCTCCAGAGAAGATCAATGCATCCCTCCTCTTTAGAGTACTTTTCAGTATACTAGTCTAGTGTTTAATTATCATGGGCCAATCAAAGTGATATGCAGTAAATCTAAACCATCAGCAAGATCTGCTCTAATATGGTATTTTTTATAAACTCTTTATCATGAAACATTTCTAACATATATAAAAATGAAGATACTAGTATTATAAACTCAATGTATCCATCACTCAATTTCAATAATTATTAATACTGTCCACCCTGTTTTGTTTCCTCTCCTCATCCCCACCAATTATTTCAAAGCAAATCATAGATACTGTATCATTAAAAGAGTGATATTTAAAATAGTGTTCTCAACTTTTTAAACCATCTTCCATCAGCCAAGAAGAGTATGACAAGATTTACTTTCATGAGTTCATATTACAAAAGAAGATTTCAGATTTTTGGTTTTGTTTTTCAATCCTTCCTGTATCAATTGTTAAATACATACACATCTTTGAAGCCTCTCAAAGTACCCATAAAATGATGGGCTCACTCTATTCATCCTAGTTGAAAGAATAAATACCATATTTTATCAATTGATTAACCACAAAGATCATGCAGTATTCACTATACACAGTTTAGAGAAAACTTCAGTAGGTGAATATGGACAAGTCTAATAAAATCTTACCTTTTAAATTAGGTAAAAATTCTCCAAAACTACATGGTATTGTGGTCCTCAATCTTTGCTCCTCTGGAGAAAATGTAATGAGTGGTGAAAGAGAACGTTTTCTTTCACCAAGAGACATGCATAAAGATGACTTTGTATAGTCAGTGTATGAGTCATGAGTGTCCAAAAAATTAAACATATTATCTGTTTGCATGTTATTGGGAGTAAGACTCAAGTCTGGTTTGTGTCTTTCAAGCATTTCAGGATAAGAGAGGTAAGATTCTTCCTTTTTCTTGGAAAGGGATTTTTTCAGAGCCTCATATCTACTGCAAATAGCTTGTAAATTGAAATTTGATTTTGGAGTAGTCTGTATTTCTCCTAGAACATCTTCTGGAAAAATGCCACCTTGCATAGGACTATTTCGTTCCAGTTCAAAATTGACCTCTGTATTATTGGAGCTATTAAGACTTAGGTGAGCAATTTCTTCTGGAAAAGTTTCATATAATATGCCAAAATCAGAATCTTCAAAACTCTTAGAATTAATTCCACTTGATATTTGAAAAGAGTTCCATAATGCAGTTTTTTGCATGGAAGGTTCTTTATAAGAAGCTAGCGAGTGGTCTGATATTTCAACATACTCCTCTTTATTGCCACCCATCCCATCTATCCTATTGTGTACAGCAGGGGAGAATGTCTCTATTTGGCTAGTTTCTGAAAGCTTGTTCTGTAAAGCTGTACATTCCAAATCTTGCTTGCAAATTATTTTCTTATTTAACAAATCTGACTGATTCTGTATTGGTGGGTCACCTATGTGACTGTCTGCCATGTGTTTCTGAGACACACACTTGAGGCAATCTGAAAAAACTTTTTCTTTAGGCAAATGAGATTGGGTAAAATCTGACACAGTGGTTGCTGAGAGAAAACTGGCCATGCTAAATTCTGTTTGATTATGCAACACAGGTAAGGATTCTGGCAAAACTTCTCTATATTCAGTATCCATTTGAATTGGTTCTGTACTTCTGTCAGCTTCCATTTCAACAGCTTTTCTCCATGAGCTTCTAATTTCACTTACTAAATAAATTAAGGGGAAAAAAACACACACACACAATTTACTAGTATTTCTAAACAGAAAGCATGCAAGTAAACGTCTTATTTCTAATACAAAAAAAGCTACTTATTACTCAGTAAGTGTTCAATGAATGTGCTGTATAAGAAAACTCCACAATATAACAAACTCAACAATATCAAAGAATTCTACCTCTAACTGAGCAAACACATACAATGAAAACTATTCCTGAAATGAAATACTTTCACACAGCACATACAAATTGCATACATTAAAAACACATTTTCTTGTCCATCTAGATCAAGGTTTGGTAAACTTTTTCTAAAAAGGGCCAGAGAGTAACACTTTAGGCTTTGCTGGCCAGCCAGTCTGTCACAACTACTCAACTCTGCCATTACAACAAGAAAGCAGCCATAGAGAAAACGTCAACAAATGGATACAGTTGGATTCCAGTAAAATTTTGTTCATAAAAACACGTAGGGCTGGCTGGTTTTAGGCCAAAGTGTGAATCACTTTAACTCTAAGTGTCATTTCAAGTAGGAAAATGGAAATTATATACTTAATAACTACTTAATAATACCTAATACCAGTATCTATCTACATGAGGAAACCACTATCAGATCTCTGCCTACACAAATTATAGGTAAAAAAATATTGGGCTGTCTGACTAGCTTGATAGGGATAGAAAAGTTCTATGCACACATACTTTTTAGCAATTGCTGCTCATTTTTCTAACTGACGGAATGTGGTCTCTATACTCTTTAAATATTGATCACAGGTTACATCTGGAGATGAGATTTTTTAAAAAAATGATCAAATAGAAGGACTTCCAGTAAGATGGAGGAATAGGCAGACAAGCAACACACACCCTCTTCAACAAAGAAAAGAAAAAGCAATTGACAGAGAGAGAGAAGATAATCCTGGAGCCCTGAGCTTTGAAAGGAACTATACAGAAGTGGATTAGGCACCAACTAGTGGAAAAACCTGAACGAAAACAGTGAGTAGAGACAGTCGGAGCTGCAGACTGTCAGCTAATCCAATGGGACCAACAGCCTGAATAGTTCCAAGTGGTGTTCGGACCTGAGAATTGACCTAAAAAAAGATCAGCCCTGGTCACCAAGGGCTGCAGAGATGACTGCTGGTGGCCTATGACTAGGAAGGTGCAGTGTAGTAAATTACTTTGTGTGGCTTTTCTACCCATAAGTCTTTGTAAACTCCAAGGTGGGATTTGC